TTTATTAAGAGGAAATGAAGCAGAGGAAATGCCTTTTTTTCCCTGAAGTAATTTCTTGATTTAATATTCTATGAAACTAAAATTCAATTCTGTACTAAGTTTAGATATTTTAGTTCCATTGGTGTTTCTTTTTTTGAAATATTTTTATATTCTTACTATTTATTTATCCTAGTCTTAAAAATTATGTTATACAATATTTTTATTTATTATAAATTTATTCAATTTTGCTTTTATTTTTGTAGGATAGAAATTTGAAAAAGGAAAGAGTAGTATAATCAAACTGCCAAAATTGATTTTTTTTTTTTTCTTTGAAACAAAACCAATCAATTCAATCCGAACTAATTCCATCCAGATAATAGTTGGATTAGTTTGGTTATAGTATATTAACTAAATTGAATTAGACTGAGTCAAATTGAGTCGGTGAAGCAAAACACTAATTGGGTAAATTGCAAAATTAGACCTCAACTTTGGTTGATATTTCAACCGTAAGTTTTGCAACTAATTCAACATGAAACTAAAAATTAAAAATTAAAAATTAAAAATTTGTTTGAAACAAATTTTAGCACTGATAATTCAAAATATTACTTGTTTAATAGAATTAAAGCTATTTTTATTCTTATTTCTCTAATGATCACAATAATATGTTACTAAAACATGTAAAAGCAAATAAGTTTTCTTTTAAAAAAAAAATTGCAAAGTTTATAAAAATCAAAATCGAATACTCAAAATCACAACTATTGGGAACAGATAATTATCTTTTTTTTTCATAATTAGTGTCAGTTTTTTTAATGAATTTCATCTCTTTTTTCTATACAAAATTATATATATAGAATAATAAGATTTTTTAACAATGAAGCATAGAGATTACACAATAATAATCTCTAAACTGATAACATTAATAACTGATAATTTTGCACATTACATAAATAAACAATTAGGTACAAAGAATTGTTAATTACAATAAATTAAATAAAGCAATCTATGAGAAAAGGTGCAGCTTTTTTTTTTTTTTTGTGAGGGAGTGACATTTCAATTTTTAGGCAAGACTATTATTATCTGCTTATGGAGTAATTACTCAAAGGAAAAATATATGTCAAAAGTAAGATATCCAACTTGGTTTTGCAACTGATGATTCTTCCCCAAAACCAATAAAATAATCTCGTTCTTAGGGATGGGTAAGGTTCCAGGTAAGGCAAAACCATAAGCTAAGCCCCTGAACCAACCCCAGAATCGCTATTAAGCCCCTAGACTGTAATTGATGCATATAAGCCCTTGAACTCGGGAATCAAAGCAATTAAGCCCTTCTTCTTACGCCAACTTAACTGCCGTTTAGGACTACTCGCCTGACT